GCTTTCCAGCCCTCTCTAAGCGGTTTACAGAGTCAGCCTCTTTGCCCCCAACAATCTGGATACTCGTTTTACCCACCTTGGAAGGACGGAAGGCTGAGTCAACCTTGATCAACTCCTGGCAGTGGGCAGATTTAGTCTGAAATATTGCATTCTAACCACTATGCCTGCCTACCTTCCCAAGCAATAGCAGACTTATATACCGCTTCACAAATAGCAGATGTATATATACTGCTTTCTAAGTGGTTTACAGAGTCGGCCTCTTGCCCCCAACCATCTGGGTCCTCATTTTACCCACCTTGCGAGGATGGAAGGCTGAGTCAACCTCGAGCCAGTTAGAATCGAACTGCCAAATTGAAGGCAGCTGGCAGTCAGCGGAAGAAGCCTGCAGTACTGCTCTCTAACCACCGCGCCACGTGATGTAGTATAGTGAAAGAGAAGGGACTCCTCCTTGCTTCTAAGCGTCCGTGGCCGTTGGGTGGGGCGGCTGGGACGAATGCCAACGCATCATTATAAAGGTGGGCTGGCCTAGAGAGAAGGTTGCTACCGTAGGACAAGACCTACCGGCTGTCCTTGGGACTTGACTGAAGAGGCCATTCTTGTGCCTTTGATTCACTCATGGGGTCATTTACTGAGTCATTCATTGGGTCGCTCTTTCGGCCACCCCAGAAAGAAGGGGGCGGAGACCGCTGTGCTACCCCCATGGCAGATAAGGAACTAGGGCTAAAAGAAAGGAAGAGGCTTACAGGGTGCCCCTCTCAATCCCGTACATTTCAACCGCCACTCTCGCACCGCACCAATTAGCACCCACGTTTCGGTGGCACGCCACCCTCCGCCGTGTTTAGTGGAGACACGCAAAGGGTGACGGACAAGCAGAGAGAAATATATATGGGGAGCCACCGATGGAGCCCAACCCTTCTGTGATTAAGTGGGAAATTTGCGAAGGGAGCTTTTTTTGGGCCCCTATTGCGATGGGCTTTTCTCACATTTGGTTAAGGGCATCGCTGCGGTTCTTAAATGAGGAACGCGGTTGTTAAGTGAATCTGGCTTCCCCGTTGACTTTGCTTGTCCGAAGGGGAAGGGGAAATCACGGGACTGTCAGCCTTCAATATTCCTTTCCTTTCCTTTGCATCTTTCGGCTGCCATAGTAACGGGGGGAGGGGAAAGTATTAGGCTTTGTGGGTGTGGGAAGTGTGCTGGAGGTGTTGAAGAACGTACTATATAACTTGGGGGGAAAACTTTATTGTCTATGCTTATTTGCTTGCTTACTGTGCAACTGTGGGTTTTTATCAACCTAGGCCAAGGTCAATGGCCAGATGCCTGCATCACCACCTGAAGATGCCCCGCATGACATACACATCTTCGATTGGATGGACAGCTTGCACTACTGTGGGTGGGAACCTTGCCATCACTTTGTATGTGTGTTTTTCGAACGTAAATCCTCAGATTCAGAATTCCTTTGATGCTACCTGTTAGGGATAACATTGTTTACCCTAACTGGTTTGGGTAAAAATAATAAATAAGGTATCATGGTTTGTTACTTAAAGTGTGTGTAACTTTAACTGCAAGAATGTAATTAAGGGTGTGGTTGTAAAAACACTATATAAGAAGCGAGGCAATTGCGGCTCGCACTCTCTGGTTAACTGATCCCTAATTACTTGATGGATTGATGGCTGCGTTCTTGTTGGAAAGAGGAGAAGAAGAAGGAGTGTTGATATTTTCTCAACGGAGAGAAAATAAAGATTGGACTGATTTATTGTAAGTGAACTGACATTGGCTATTCAACATGGACTTTTGCAAATAGAGTATCCCCGACAAGACTTGACTGAAATTGATATATGACTAATGGACCGTTTATTTGACTATGCTATAATTCTTAAATGGAATAAACTATATTTTTGATAGCACAAGCGTATCTGCCTTTTTACTGCGTGTTAACTAGAAAACTTATCTCACACATTTACTTGTCTTCCTATCTGACTTCGCTGCACGTTCTGTTTAGTTTGTTTTCCTTAACACCCGTTGGGGAATCCAGGCTTAACACTACCACTTGATTTCCAGTAAAAGTTCTTTTCTCTATATTAATGGAGTCTAAGAGTGTCTTTCTTGGATTTTGAATGGAACACCTGACAGAGACCCCGGGACACTGCACCCATCATAAATGTGAGTCAGTTGTCAGGCGTCTGAATGTAATCCCGTGACTTTGGGGATGCTGCAATGGCCATGTCACTTTTTTTTTCAGGGCCGTTGTAACTTTGAACGGTCGTTAAATGAACTGTTGTAAGAGTTGGGAAATAGCTGTACAGGTAGCCCTCGACTTAACGACCCCAACTTCCTGCTGCTAAGTGAGACAGCTGTTAAGTGAGCTTTGCTAAGTGAATCCCTGCAGTGTCAACTCTTAAAGCCTTCCTGGCCTGCTCTTGAGTCGCCACAGGCAGGAAGCGGGAGGAGAAATTGACTATATATAAAATATATATATAAAACCCCATTTACGTCCCAACCTCCCACCGTGTCCTTTGCTCACCTGGACTCTTTCTCCTTGTGTTTATCTTTTAACTTCTTCTTCTTCTTGGACTTCTTCCGCTTCCGTCCCTTTAGTTCGTCGAGAGAAGGGTCTGGCAAGATTTTGGGGGGTTTCTTTTCGGGGGCGCAGTCGCTGGCCTCGGGACTTAGGGAAACGTGCTTTTTCCTATCGAGGTTGTGGCTCAAACGGCTTTTGTAATAATCATACTTACTATAGGGGCTACTGTAAACATGACTTGATTTGCTATAGTCTCTCTCGGAGTGGGTCGGCTTCCTCTCCTGGTTATGCCGGGGCACGTGGGAGGCCGAGTAGTAGTAACTGTACGACCGGCACGCATCCCACCTCCTCGGCGTCTCCTGGTAGTGCCGCTCCCTGCTCCACGACCTCTCTCCCCCTTTCCCGTAACTGGGCCTGCTCCGTTCAGAGTCCGTTTGACCTCGGCTGCGGGGTCTGTAGGGAGGGTACTTCCCCAAACTCCTGGCGGGATCGGGACTACCCGGGAACCTGTAGTAGCTGGTGCCGTGGTATTCCCGCCGGGGCTGCTCCTGCTGCTTCCCTCGCTCCCTACTGTAAGCGCACCTCTGCTTACTGCAGTGTCCATCAGGCTGGCTCCGTCCACCAGCCCCGTCGGCCTCCTCCTCCGCCTCCTCTTCTTCCTCCGTTTCAGAACGCTTCCTTTTAGGACGATAATATTCTTGGTCGGTTTTTTTGTAACCGTGGGCTTTCTCCTTCGGGCCCGGCTTTTCAAGGCTTCTTCGAAGCGGCTCGACGCTGTCCGCTGGTTTGCTTTGTTCCGTCTTTGAACTCTGGCTCTCGGCAGGAGTTTTGGGTTGGGGAAGGGGAGAATTCTCGGCACACGGGGGGTCCTTGCCGCTCGGAGGGCTGCCCTGCCTTTCCGGACCCGTCTCGGGTGCCTTTAGGGGAGTCTTCAGATTTTGGGGCCTAGATTCACCGTCCAACCTCATCTGGGTGCTCTGGGGGTCTGGTGTTTCTGGCGGTCCTGCCTGTCCTTCAGCAGGCTCTGGGCTCTTCTCTGAAGCTGCTTTCTCGTCTTTGGATACCCCTGCCCTTTCTTGACTGTCCCCTTCTCCAGGAGAGGCTGCTTCATCTGTTCCTGGGGAACCGTGTTGCCGGTCGTTCTCAAGCGGCCTGTTTTCTGTCTGGGCAATCCTTTCACAAGAGTCCTTCGTGGTCGCAGTGACGTTGGGGTCCGAAAATATTACGGGGCTTGGGATACTGTTGGGAAGGGCACCGGGGGCCTTTTCAGAAGCATCCTCGGCCATGGGCTTTTCTGGTTCAGGAGGGCTGCTGGTCAAGAAGAGAAAGACAGGTCAAGATAGACGTCACCACTTAAACCTTTAAATGGAAACGAGCCCTGACGACATCAGTTGAGACAGGTATAGTTTTATCGGAAGTGTGTTGCAGTAATGCAAAGCTAGAACTGAGAATCGCGTGCCAAAATCCCTAAGTTCACCTTTATCCCTCCTCGTCACCCACTCCGTGTAGCCAATCAGGCCCAGGTAAGATGTTTTCATAACAGTCAGTCCAAGCATAGTTTGGTATGAAGCTTCCCTCCTTCTTCCACCTTGAGGCAGCCTCTCGGGAAGATACAGCATTTACTTCCATTTCCCCAACCATTCCCCCATCTCCCCCCAGTTCATGCCAGTCTGTTACCATACAGCAAACATTAGGTGGTAGCTGACATGGGATTTCAACCTGAGGAGGCCTTAAAAGTGCTTTTAACTTCTAGAGAACCTTTTAAAAAGGGGGCAGGGAAAAATAAACCCGACGAGGACTCTAGACATCTGACGATAGAGACTTTGTGAGGCCCATAACAAGGTTATCTTGTCCAAAGTAGCTTGTTTTCCTCATATCATAAGATACAATTCTATCTGATCCAAAATCTTTCAGGACAGAAGGCTTCAGAGACGTGGCAATTCATTTCTTCAAAGGCAAACAGATTAAAATGCAACTTGGGAACCTATTTTTGTTTCTTATCTCAAAACCTTTGCTTCATCCCACATTCCCTCTGTTCTTGAAATAGGTAGGAAGAATTTACCAGCAGGAGCAGGCCACACAGTGAAGCAATTAAGACTGTGACTTGCAAGTTTTAATCAATGAAGGCAGCCATTCCGATTTAAAGAACTATAGGCAACTTAATAAACAAATTTATAAAATTGGCCAATTTCTAGGCAGATTAGCCTAGAAAATATACCTGTTGTCACTTTTATAAAGCAGAAAGTGCATCTTTTAAAGGTGCAGATCACTTTTAAAGGTGCAGACAACTTGGTTCCTCTTTAAACAAAATCGGCTGAATCGTATCACCCTGAGGGCCAATAAACTTTGTCCAATAAATCAGTTTTAGTTTGCTTTTTAACTGGAGCGTAGCTATTTTGCCTTTACAAATTTATAAATTTGTGTTCCCAAGGAGGAGAAACATGGAAAACATAATAAAAAACAGAAAAGGAATAGAATGATGTGGCTATGTGACTTGAATATCCAGCTAAGATATAGGCGTTAAGTCTAGATGTGCTCCAAGCACCAATTATTTAATTTTTTGCATTTTCAGCATCTTTGGTGACGTACATGGGATTCCTCTCTAATTTTATCTCCACAACAACCTTGTGAGGATGGTTGATCTGAGAAAGGGATGGCTGGCTTACAAGGTTTTTTTTTTTTTCCAATTTTGTATCTTCCCCATGTTAAGCCAACATCAAAACTACTATGCTATGCAGCCGGTTATCTAAACTAACATCACCTGGTTTTAAAGCTGCATTTCTTTTACAGTAAGCTAATCGCCTGCTTCTTAAAATTCAGAACCTAGTTAGAGTAGAGAGAAGACTGTATTACCTGGAGTCCCCAGGCAAGGTTTTTGACTGCTTATATCTGAAGGAATCGGAGACGTCTTCTTCAGGGACTGAGGACAAAGCTTTCGGAGAACCCTGTAGATTCAAAACGGACAAGGATTAACGCAACGATGAGCAAAGGGATCGGATAGACTATAGATTCTGGTATGAAATCCGGAGTGGTAAAATCAGCCCATGTGACTTGCTCCCAAGAAAAAATAATGGCTATCAACTTGCCTTCCATCGAGGACCTGTATACTGCACGAGTCAAAAAGAGGGCTGTGAAAATATCTACAGACCCCTCCCATCCTGGACATTAATTGTTTCAACTCCAACCCTCAAAACGACGCTATAGAGCACTGCACACAAGAACAACGAGATACAAGGACAGTTTTTCCCCGAATGCCATCACTCTGCTAAACAAATAATTCCCTCAACACTGTCCAACTGCTTACAAAGTCTGTAGTACTATTACTATTAATCTTCTCATCACTCCTTATCACCCATCCCCTCCCACTTGTGAGTGTAGGACTGTAACTTTGTCGCTTGCATCCTTACGATTTATATTGACTGTTTCCTAGTAGGATTTGATTGCTTATTGCACCCTATGACTATCATTAAGTGTTGTACCTGATTATTCTTGACTCTTGACGAATGCATCTTTTTTTTTATGTACACTGAAAGCATTTGCACCAAGACAAATTCCTTGGGCGTCCAATTACACTTGGCCAATAAAGAATTCTATGCTATGCTATGCTATGCTATGCTATGCTATGCTATGCTATGCTATGCTATGCTATGCTATGCTATGCTATGCTACGCTACTCTACTCTACTTTACTCTACTCTACTCTACTCTTATTGTACCCTAGGATTATTATTAAGTGTTGTACCTGATGATTCCTGATAATTGACGGATGTATCTTTTCTTTTATGTATACTGAGAGCATTTGCACCAAGACAAATTCCTTGTGTGTCCAATCACACTTGGCCAATAAAGAATTATATGCTATGCTATGCTACTCTACTTTACTCTACTCTACTCTATTCTTATTGTACCCTAGGACTATTATTAAGTGTTGTACCTGATGATTCCTGATGCTTGACGAATGTATCTTTTCTTTTATGTATACTGAGAGCATTTGCACCAAGACAAATTCCTTGTGAGTCCAATCACACTTAGAATTCTAAGTGTGAATTCTAATAAAGAATTATATTCTATTCTAAGAAGAGTGCAACCATCAACTGGAAGAAAAAGAGGACCAGGGATTCCTTTTGGATATAGCACAGGGTTCAACGGTCACCTACTTCTGTAGCCTTTTCCGGTTCTTCTCAGAAAAGGTGGTCTAGATGGACCCTGAGGCCGCATGTGTGGGAAGCCAGCCTTTAAGCGTTGAGTTCTGGCTTTTCCCTTTTCAATTCAGGAGCCCCAAACCTTATTCTGAAGTTAAAGAAGGAAGAGCTATGAACAGAACTAGTCCTCGACTTACAACCATTCATTAAGTGACCGTGCAAAGTTACCACCGCACTGACAAAAGTGGCTTTACGATCATTTTTTAACACTTACAACCATTGCACTAACCCAACACCCCACCCCCTTGCTCGTGTGATCCAAATTCAGGCACTTGGCAACTGACTCATATTTATGACGGGTACAAGTGTCTCGGGAGGGATTATGTGACCCGCTTTTGCGACCTTCTGACAAGCAAAGTCAAAGGGGAAGCCAGATTCACTGAACAACCGCATCACTAACTTAAAAACTGCAGAGATGCCCTTTTAACAACGGTGGCAAGAAAGGTCCGTAAAATGGGGCAAAGCCAACTTTAACCACTATCTCCCCTTAAGTAATATTTTTGGCCTCTCCTGTGGTCGTTAAGTCGAGGATTACCCGCATTCCAAGGAATCTACTCACTTTTCCGGGCAATCCGTTGGTTTTGGGAAACGGGTGATCCGCCAGTTTCACGGGCTTCCCTTGAGAGGTGGGATCGCTGCCCATTTGTCTGTTCTGCTTCGGGGCGTCGTTTAGGCTAATGGAGACCATGACGGTTATGTTTTGAGGCAACTCGGGCTGGGAACTTTCTTTCTCCGGCTTGTGGCAGGGCGTGCACGAGTCCTCCAGCCCGCCGGCCGCGTCTTCTAGTAAAATGCCGTTGGACACTTTGACGTGGCCATTCTCCTTCAACAGCCCTTTGGATTCCTCCTCCGATTCTTCCGAGGATTCTGCTCCGTAGGGAACCAAGAGGCTGGGACTGTGTTTGGCCTTGCCGTTCATGATCAGCTTGGAAGCGGACTTGCCCGGGGAGGACGGTTTGGAGACTTGATTAGCAGCCGAGGAGACGGTGGAAGTACTTGAGGTAGATTGCGCCGCGGAAGGGTTGGAAATGGTGGAGGACGGGGCGGGCTTGTTGAGGCTCTCCAAGGTGCAGCTGGGGTGAGAGATGGTTTGGCGAGTGGGCAGCTTGTTGTTGTGAATACTGAGGGTGAGTTTGGGCTTCTTGGAGGAATCCGGGGGGCCCGCCGTGGCCGAGCGGTTCATGGTCCACTTGGAGATGGACAAGGAAGGCGCCGAAGAAGATTTGACGAGGGAAGCGTTGCTAGAAATGGCCGCCGTACTGCTGGGGGTTTCCTTCAGGGATCCGGTTCCGTTCAAATGATTCGAATTCTGCAGTTATGCAAACGGAGAAAACGAGAAGCCCAAGAAAATAAGCTGTAGATCTGAAACCTGAAATATTCCTATTAGGAATGGTACCAGAAGGTTATAGTAAGAGAAAAGATTTATTTAATTATACATGTTCTAACAGCGGCTAGGATGGTATTTGCTCAAAACTGGAAAAGTGATAAAATACCGATAAGAGGGGAAAAAATAATTGGAAAAATATTTGAATGTGCAGAAATGAATAGATTGACACTAGAAATTAAAGAGAAAGAAACGGAATATTACATGGTATGGAATATGTTTTATCAATGGATAGAGAATAGAACCACTTAAAAAAGATTTGATGTATTTATAGAGCAATTAGAGAAATTTAAGCAAAATTATAATGTGTGATATTATTATGTATATGGGAATGTATACAGGAACATTGATGTTAGATTTGATAAGAAGAATATCATTTATAATGTTCAAATAATTGAAATATGTACCCAAGCTGACACACTATTGAAATGGAATGATTTGTTATATATAAAAAACAATTTAAAATTTAATAATATTTTTAAAAAGCCAGGGGGTCTGCAACTTTAAACACTCAAAGAGCCATTTGGACCACAGAAAAGAAAACACCGGGAGCCAATAATTTAACCACCGGTGTGACTGGGCGGGCGTGTGGCCAACTCGACTGTCACTTACTCCCACCCAGTCACCTCCTGTTCTGGAATATGGAGCTTGAGTCTCCATCCCCCGCCATCACCCTTACCTTCTCAGGCTAGGTGAGGAGTGACAGGAAGGGGAGGGGCCAGCCAGGGGTGGGATCAGCTGTCAGGGAGCCGCATGTGGCTCCAGAGCCACAGGTTGCGGACCCCCGACATAGACAGAGCGATGGATGAAAACTCCCTTTCTCGAATTAAAGTCAGGCTTTCTAAGCAGATGACCCTTAACTTACCTTCACCATGTGTGGAGGGAGCTGAGGTCCGATAAATCCAGGGTTACTTTGTTTATTACCGATCACCCGTTGATTGATAACCGGTCGGGGAGAAGACTGCCCCGGCGTGTGGACCGAATGAATGTGTTCGGCACCGTTTTTCAAGTCATGGGTCCTAATTAAAAAAGTCGCGTTAAGCCATATGTTCACTTCCCTTTTCACAAACTGCCCTAAAGTTCTTTTCTTAGGGTGGGCATCCTTATTCGTCACCAGGAAACACCAGTGACTCTGCCACGTGTGGCACACCAGAAGCGGGGCAAAAACCCAAGATAGGTCCTGGCGCCAAGGGTAAAAAAAAACAAAAATCTATTTTCAAAAGCTGGACTTTACCTGATGTAAAACAGCACATAGGCTTGTTGATTTAATACAGTCCTGATGTCACTGTTTGAAACAGTGGAATCATTCATCTGGTACCACTGCCCGTTACTGGCCTAAAACAAAAAACAGAATTACAGCAAAAAAGGATTGTGGTCTGTAAATCTATTCCCCAATGTGAGGCAAAGCCAAACTTCCATCGAACATCTTAGATGGTTACCTTCCTTAGATATTGAATTATAACATATATCCTATGTAACTCTAGGGAAAGGGTCTTCCAACTTGACAGCTTGAAGACTTGTGGACTTTAACTCCCAGAATTCCTCCTCCAGTCATGTTAGCTCAGGTATTCTGGGAGTTGAAGTCCACAAGTCTTAAACTTGCCAAGTTTGAAGCCCCTTGGTCTAGGCTGCTGTATTATGGGGATTTTATTATGGTTTTACCTTAATTTAATATTTTATCTTGGATATTATATTGACCACCAATGTGCATCCATCTACCTGTGTTTCCCCGAAAATAAGACTAGGTCTTTTTTTGCTCCAAAAGACCCATTAGGCTTATTTTCCAGTTAGGTCTTATTTTGAGGGAAATACGATACTAAATGCGTCCATCTGGCTGACAATCTTAACTGGGGCTTATTTTTGAGGTAGGGCTTATATTGCCAGCCTCCTGAAAAATCATGCTAGAGCTTATTTTCCGGTTGAGTCTTATTTTTGGGGAAACATTGTCTCTCTCTCTCTCTCTCTCTCTCTCTTTTCCCCCACATATGTATTTGCTGATGCCTTAAACTTATATTTGTGTTTGCATATATAATGTGTTTCACTAGCATTGTATATCAGTGACTGCATGGCCTCTGTTGATGCCATATGCTAAATAAAATAAATTTTAAAACTTCAACCTCCTGTGCCTTCGTTTTAAAGAATGCCTATGCTTCCCGCTGAGATGTCTAGAGGTTTTTTTTCAAAATAAAAGTGGGAGGATGGAAAACCAAGCCCGTGCTTCACTTAGAAGTGGACCCCACCAGATGTTTCTCTTCTAGGAGAGACAACTGCTGGTCAGCCAAAAAGAGATAAAAATTCTTCCTGTTCAGTGTCAATGAAGGAGGCCCAGCCTGTTTCAAAGCCCTCCATCATTTTTGCAGGAAAATATGCGTCCTTAAAGATGCATCACTATCTTAGATACTCCAGATGACAGTAAAGAACATTAGGAAAGGCAGCTATGTTAAAAATTTTATTAGAAAAATAAATGGCTTTTTTTAAAAGGCTGGTGGAAGGAGAAACAGTGCCCTCTGCTGGATTTTAGTGAAATATATATTGACTAAACAATGAAATTATTTTGTTTTAGCAGCAGCAGAAGGGGAAAATGTTCCAGAAAAGCCTCATATAACCTTAGGTTTTGGAGCAAGCATTTAGTAAAAGTCTAAAAGTAAGCACAAACTTCTTGAGAGGAAGAATTGCCTTAAAAGCCGTGTTTCTCAACCGTGGCAACTTGGAAGATGTCTGGATTTCAACTCCCAGAATCCCCCAGCCAAGCATGCAGGGTTGAGAAATCTTGCCTTAAAATAATTAAATGCCTGGGTCTTTACATTTTACACTGGTTTAGATTAATTCCTTCCCCTAGCAATGATCTCAGAGTTATGGGTTAGTGCAGAGGTCCCCAAACTTGGCAACTTTAAGACTTGTGGACTTCAACTCCCAGAATTCTCCAGCCAGCTAATTCTGGGAGTTGAAGTCTGCAAGTCTTAAAGTTGCCAAGTTTGACGACCCCTGGATTAGTGGAATCAAGCATTCTTCCTTGTGACAACAATTTGGGCTGCACTCTGTTGCCATCACCCATATCAAATTGTAACCAGTTATACTGTTAGGGTCACTTGCTCTGGGACAACTTTTCTTGAACGCCTGAGAATAGTAAGACGAGAAAGAAAAATTTACCTTTATGTAGCAGTAATAATGTCCAGCATGACAGCTGAAGCCCGTATGGACTAGCACTGCATAAAGTGCATAAATGATTGGTTCTCCATTGGGTTGGGACATATATGGTCGGATATCTAAATATTCTGGGTATTTCACTTCCTAAACCAGAGAAGACAGAGAGGCGTTTCTGAGTTTGCATGCAGAATCCCACTTAAAACACAGAGAAAAGCAACACCGTAAGAATTAAACTTTTACGCGTATCTCTACAGAGAACATTGGTCCACACAATGATGTTTGTGAAAATGCCACAAGTGAGCGACCCCTGAGCATCTCACACTGCCCCTTCTTTTTTTATACAATCCTTTATCTGGTTTCATTCTCAGCTGGGTGGGGGTACTTTCATATATACAGGTAATCCTTCACTTACCGAGCCCAGAATTTATCTTGTTGAGTGATACAGTTGTTAAATGAGTTTTGCCCTGTTTTACGGCCATTCTTGTCACAGTTGTGAAGGGAATCACTGCAATTCTTAAGTTAGTAACATGGTGGTGAAGTGAATCTAGCTTCCACCCATGGACTTTGGATTGTCAAAAAGTCGCAAACGTTTATCACAAAACCCTGGGACGACACTGCGACCGTCATAACTATGAACCAGTTGCCAAGCAGGCAAATTTTGATCATGTGACCACAGGTATGCTACAACAGTTAAGTGTGAAAAAACAGTCGGTCACTTTTTTTTCCAGTGCCGTTGTAACTGCGAACAATCACTAAATGGAACTATTGTAAGTTGAGCGTGTTACCTGTACTTCATTTATATTGCTAAAGGGCTACGCCACGATTTAAGGAAGCTCCTGTCTTACCTTTGTGATTTTGCCACCACTGAAATTTGCAAACCGTTTGAGGGACAAGGTGAGGACATTTGATGCCCGGTGTATCGTAAACCGCTTGGATGCAGGAACCATTTTTTTACACCTAAAAACATAAGGGAGATTCAAGACTTTTTTTTCCCCCTCACTATTTTCGGAAGTTCAACCAACGACTTCCTATTTGGAAATCGGTGTCTGAAAACAGGTTTAGGTTTTCTTAAAAGACATGAAAGAGAGGTGGAATTATTCCTCTTTTCCTTCCACTCTTAAGACTCACCCTCCTTCGATATCCCTTTGGGCCAGGAGCCTCCAAACTTGGCAACTTTAAGACTTGTGGACTTCAACTCCCAGAATCCCCCCAGCCAGCATGCGTGGCTAGCTGAGGAACTCTGGGAGTTGAAGTCCACAAGTCTTAAAGTGGCCAAATTTGGAGAATTTGCTTTGGGCAGTGCTTTTCAAATCTGGCAACTTTAAGATGGGTGGATTTTTTTAACCACGGCAGACGTAGAAGAACAATCAATCAATCAACGAATTAGAAAACATAGGAATTCTCTTTCTTACTTGCTACATTTATATGCATTTTCTCCATCCAGCTGTTCAGGCTTGACAAACTGTTCCAGAGCTTTGTTGACACTTTGAGCTGACTGGAAGGGAGGGAAAAAAAACATGGTCACTGGGGGAATTCTGGGAGTCGAAGTCCACATACTTCTTAAAATTGTCAAGGTTGAGAAACACTTTTCTAGGATGCCAGGGCTCAGATTAGATGGCTGTTTTTTCTGGAATGTCACCCGGGCTTACAAGAATGTCTAGATTTGTTCTTGCAAGCAACTGTGAAAAAAATAGCCTAAGGAATAGTGGTCCACAGTAAGCTATGTTTTAACTGATGACAAAATTCTTTGTGATTGTGGTGACATGAGAAAACAACACATATGTATACTTTGTGTCCTGATCAGTGTACACTTGAGGAGCTCATGGCAGTGCAACAGAACACACAATGTTGCTAGTTTCTGGCAAGATTAAGGGGCGTGCATAAAAGCACCATCGGTAGGTCCCTGTCCTATTGTCCCCATTTATTCGTACCGATTTCCTGTATTCTTACTCATGTTTATACTTATATCTATTATCTTGTAAGCGATTGACAAATCAAATACCGTATTTGCCGGCGTATAAGACGACTTTTTTGCCCTAAAAAACATGCCTCCAAGTGGGGGGGTCGTCTTATACGCCGGTAAATACATTGTCACTCGGTGCAAGAGCGACGGGGGCGGAGTTCCGCAACTTGCGAAGCCCCTTCAAGCCCAGCCGGAGTCTCTCTTCCTCCTCCTCCCACCCACCCACCCACCCTCCGCCCGGCTCGGGGCGCTTGCGGAGGCCAATCTGGAGGTGGGGTGGGGGTGGAGCGGGAGGGTCTCTGGCGGGGCTGCTTCGCCCAGCCAGCCCCGAGCCGCGTAATGGCCCGGGGAGTGGGGGGGGAGAAGGTGGTGGGGGTGGACTGTGGCGCCCCTCCTTCTGGGCAGCGGGGCGGGGGGCGGCAATTTGCTCCTCCCGCTTCTCCCTCCCTCTTTGAAAGACCGGGAGGGCTGTGCTTGGGGCGGGGGGGGGGATGTCCTCAGGAAGTTCCTGATGGGACCCCGCTGGGCAGGGCCACCCAGCTCCCGAGCTGCTTTCCAGGGTCCCCTTGGGAAGAAAAGGGTCCGGTGGGCGGTGGAAGAAGGCGAGCGCCCTCCTCCCGCCCCCTGTCCCGTCCCGTCCCTCCTCTTGTCCCCTCCTCCCCTCCCCGCTTAAGAGAGAAAGATCTGCCTCCCCTGCACCGGGCTTCCACCTGGCGCCGCGTCTCCCGGCCAGCGCGCGCTTGCGACTTGGGAACCGGCCAAGCGACTTTAAAACCGAGCGGAGGCCAGAGATAGCCGGAATTACCCTCCACACCACACACACACACACACACACACAGAGAGAGAGAGAGAGAGAGAGAGAGAGAGAGAGAGGGAGGGAGGGAGAGTTGGCAGCTGTCCATCCCCCACCCTTGGAGTCCCGATGGCACGCACGCGGGGGCTGTCACAAAGAAAGGGAGAGGAATTGAGTGCCAGCCTGAGAAAGGCGAAGCTGCCTCTCTAAAGCATTTTGGTGGCTTTGTAAGTTTGGGGGAAAGGGGTTGGGGGTGTCAATCAAGAATTATATCCAGAATACCCCAAGTGTTACAACTTACCGTATTTGCCGGCGTATGAGACGACTTTTTTGCCTTGAAAAGCATGCCTCCAAGTGGGGGGGTCGTCTTATACGGCGAGTATATAACAAAAACTATATTTTGAGTGGAAATGTTGGGGGCTCGTCTTATACGCCCAGTCGTCTTATACGCCGGCAAATACGGTAAATAAATAAAAGACCCAGTTTATTCTTATATTTCATATTTTAAATTTTATTTGATTTATTTGATTTATATTGCCGCCTATTTGCCCATGGCGACTCGAGGCTTACACAATGTAAAATCATATTTAAAACAAAAAAATAAAAATAAAAACAATAAGAACTAATTTATTTTATATTTTATATAATTTATATTACATAGCATGCCTTATTTTAATTGTGATGTTTCTGACACAAGTAAGTACATCTACAAAATAATGCCCTTCACAAATACATTGTGCTAAGTATATTTAAAAATTTGCAGAAAACAAAGCAACAGAGAAACCAAAAACATACCTTTATTTCCAATGTAATATCCAAATAGGGATCAAATGTATCCGAAACACCTTTGCAATTCATGCATTTTACTGAAATTAAAAAAAAACCGAGTAGTTTTAATATACAATGAAAGTAAAAACAACAATGATGATTTATTTGAAATTCTCAATGAGCTTTAAATCAACATTCAAAGAATGGAGTTTGTTGGGTGCCATACCTCTAGATCTGAGATATCCTCCAAATATCTGATGAATAAAAGTGGTGGCTTGGGTATGTCTGTCCAATCTAAAAATACAGAGGCAGAAGGAGAAGTATAAAAAACATCTATACAAGGGGAAACTTTAAAAAAAACAAAACATCTATCCGTGAATGAAAATAAGCAAAGCAAAAAATAATATGAATGGCCACTCACTTGTTGCTACCGTTCAAACAGGCTTTCTGCATAGCATCAACCGTGTATCTTAGGAATTCGTGAGCATCTTCCTGGTTACCGAAACGGAAATGTTTTGCTATTCCTAGAAAGTAAACGAGAACATCACATTCCAGATCCTGTGATCACTTTCCTAAGAGAATAAAAATTGAAGTGCAGAACAGATGACTGAGGATAAGCCAACCCATTGTTAGAGTGTTATTACATTCATAACATTGAATCGTTTTAATACTTTTAAGCCTCCCAGAGTCACTTTGTGGTTGAGATGGCGGCAAATACATTTAATATAAACCAACCAACAAACAAAACAAAAATCCTTCCCAGGGAGAGGAAGGCAGAAGGCAACTTGTGCTACCCAAAGCAGAACAACTAGATTCTGTAATCACTTTGTACCATAGAGTATCAATCGTTAACTTTCAAGACTCTTTTTTCCACTATGTATTAGAAGTGGATTGAGGTCGGTTGGTCTGTCTGTCTGTCTGTCCGTCCCTCCGTCCGTCCATCCATCCATATATGTGTGTGCATGCCTGCCAACCACATTTAACACCTGCTCAATTTCCTTTATTGTATCATCTTCCATTGAGATCCATTGGCCAAGGTATATGTAGTAGTCTGCTACATCCAGTTCCTCTCCAGGTATAAAATCCATTCATTCATTCATTCATTCATTCATTCATTCATTCATTCTCTCTCTCTCTCTCTCTCTCTCTATGTGTATTTATTTTCTTTTGAGAATGGGCATCAGAATTTCTTTTTTTTAATACGTGCCGGTGTGTTCACAAAAAAAAGGTTACTATAAAGGTTATCTTATCTTTGGTTTTTTTTTAAAAAAAATTAAATAGAAAAACTTTATTAAACAAATTCTACAATTAAAAAACAATTAAAAACACATTTCCATTCATTGCAGCATATTTGTAGTAGCGTTCACTCACTTTGACATATTCTTAAGTATATAGAATATTACTAAATATTATTACAGTTATTTTATGTTTGGTTTATGTCTTATCTTTGTGAGGGGGAAGAGAAATTTAAAGAACAGAGATTCACAGTGGCATAAAGCACACTAGTGTCCCTGGGGTTTTTAGTGGCCGGCCAAGTGTGTGTGTGGGGGGGGGGGGGGGAGGCATTGCAGGTCAAAACCTGCCTGCCAACCACAGTAGAGGCTTACTTACGTCTGAGTTCGTTGATGACGGACATTGGCTTGATGACAGTGCCGGAATTGGACAGAGCTTGGTTGATGTGTCCCTGCATGGTGCACATCATGCAAAATCCTTGTTCGTGACCTGCGCACAAAGTGGGGTGGGGGATGGGGAAAGAGACATATATCCCGTTAGGAAACACGCACACTTGACAAACGACAATACTTCAGGCAATCTGAAACAAGAAGCAAAAGAGGAGGGAGAGGAGGTAATACAATAGGAATGATCATTAATCGATCGTTCTGACCCAACTGGGTTCCCAAAGAGCAAACACAGACAAAGGCAGCAGCTCCCACCTTTTAAGGTTTAATAACGAATTCTGTTCTGAAGGATGCTTTCCCCTAATTAGCTCCGACAAGAAAGAGCCTCGCCAAGTTGTTTGTCAAGGCTGCCAAAAACCCAGAGATAAGAACTAATTTACAAGATTCTCCAAACACGAACTAAGATGTCCACCAGTTGAGCTTCAGAGCTTCTTTGCTGTCTGCAAAGGATGCTTTTCCAAACCTGGCTTTTATCCTCTTGATAAAAAGCCAAACCTGGCTTTTATCCTTACTCCCGAGTCGCCTGTGCTGCTGTAAATTCTTTCTTCCAAGCAATCCTTCGTGCACGCGCACTTGGCACAGGCTCCTCGGGAACCTCCTCATCACTACTGCCAGCCCCCACAATCTCTGAAGGCAGCAGTCCACTCCCTGATGGTCCTGGCCCTTCATCAGAGTCCTCGCTCTCCTCAGCCACCTGTACCTGCTGCTGTCTAACCACAACATCGATGGAATAAATACTACCTAAAATACCACCCATCTTGAGGAAGCAAGGCGAGTCTATGTGTGACATATACTGCTGTGAAAATGCTTAGCAAAACACAGGTTTGCCAGTAGTCCTCGATTTACAACGACCGCTTGAAGTTGCAACAGACTTCCTCAGGGTTGCTTAAGGCCTGGATGTATCCCGTTTCCCTCCCCCAATGATCATGAGATCGCATTTTGGGCACTTGGCAACTGGTGGGCACCCACATCTGCAGCATCCTTCTGAGGTGGGTAAAACGAGGACCCAGATTGTTGGGGGCAAGAAGGTGACTCTGTAAACTGCTTACAAAGGGGCTGGAAAGCACTGTAAAGAGGTATATAAGTCTAAGTGCTATTGCTATTGCCCTCCCTCCCTCCCATGGTGTGCAATGGCTAGAATGCAGTATTGCAGGCTGACTCCGCTCAATGCCAGTAGTTCGATCCTGACCAGCTCAAGGTTGACTCAGCCTTCCACCCTTCCGAGGTCGGTAAAAGGAGGAGCCAGATTGTTGGGGGGCAAGAGGCTGACTCTATAAACTGCTTGGAGAGGGCTGGAAAGCACTGGGAAGTGGTATATAAGTCTGCTATTGCTTGGGAAGGAAGGAAGGAAGGAAGGAAGGAAGGAAGGAAGGAAGGAAGGAAGGAAGCCCTAGTGGCGCATTTGTTACAATGCAGTGTTGCAGGCTAACTCTGCCCACTGCCAGGAGTTCGATCCTGACCGGCTCAAGGTTGACTCAGCCTTCCATCCTTTCCAGGGTGGGTAAAATGAGGACCCAGATTGTTGGGGGCAAGAGGCTGACTCTGTAAACCGCTTAGAGAGGGCTGGAAAGCACTGGGAAGCGGTATATAAGTCTAAGGGCTATTGCTACCCTGTGATTATGTGACCACAATTTGTGGTTTTTTTGTTTGTTTTGCTGGAAATCACCTTTAATTCTGGTTTCTGCCCATTGAAGAGAATGGGTTTGTTTAATGATGGCAGCATTCATGAACTAAAGGGGTTAACTACTCGCACAACGTATAACCGTAATTCTGGGCTCAATTACGGCCGTTGAGGAATACCTGTATAGAAATACCTGCCACACTGTTCCTACCTGTTTGGGGAGAAAAACAGAAGCAAACTCCACACACAAAAAGGAACCACCTTTTTGAAAATGATGCTTTCCAGCGCAGGCTTTCCTTTTTTTTTCTCTTTTTTTTAAACAGTTTGGAAGAAAAAGACATGCTAAAACATACTCACAGGTTTTGGAGTGTTCGTAGGAGAGCATGTAATTGGCGAGGGGAGGGGTGTACGTCAGACACTGCAAAGCAGAGTTCAGGAAACAGGTGTTGCCGAGGTTTTGGAGACCAGCTCCAACCCGATGCATCTTTTGCCATTTTAAGCAAATCTTCTCTGCCGGAAAAAGGACCTTCTGAGGCGCTGCAATCCCATCACCAATAACTGTCAGAAATTAAGAGATCAGGAAATAATCATGATTAGTGTCATGCCCCTGTTGGAATCTGATTCCGAGGGAGAGGTGGAACAGCTGACAGGGAGTGGGAGTGTGGCTCCGGTGGCTGTGGAGGAAACTGGGGAAGGGCACAGTCCGACTGGGCATTCAGAGGAAGACCCAGGCCCACCCCCTCTTCATCCTAGGGCATGTAGGGAGGAACGGAGAAGGGAGCAACATGAGTTGCATGATTTATGGGGGAGGAAAGGGCCCTGATCTCCTTCATTGGCTGCAGCTGGGCACGGCAAAGTGAAATTATTTTGTAAAGTCTTATCTGAGTTCTGGCATCCTCCCAAGTGTGTGTGTTTCGTTATCTTTTGACATCTTCAATCCCTTATCCTGCCCTGTCTCGTTAATTGCTGCAGAGTGGTTTGTGTTGGTTTTTATTTATAATTTATATGTACTTTGGGTTCGGACTGAATTTCTCCCCTTTAAAAACTGTTCTTGGGAGAGTGTTTTTTTCTCCAGCCGATAATAACTGGACATTGGGGCCAAGTTGGATATATTAAAGGGACTTTACCTATTTTTGTGACTTTGTTGCTTTTGTGCCATGCCCCGGGTCATCACAGTTAGGCGGTAAAAATAAATGAACAGACAGAATAACAGAGTTGGAAGGGACCTTGGAGATCTTCTAGTCCAACCCCTCCTGCTCAGCGAGGAAAACCTATACCATTTCAGACAAACTGGTATAACAATTTAAAAGGGTTTCTCTGCGCTTTTAAATGCGGTTTAATCCCTTACCCAGCTCTTTGGCGGAAGGCTTGCATTTATCTGGTCCCGATGTACTGGAATACACCGCGGCTCCCGGCACTGGCTCCAATGAGATCTTGTGTTTCGGAGCCTCTAGCGAAGAAGAGACAGCCACCCATCCTGTAGACCCTGAGTCCATGTCACCGGAAGCAGGTGCCACAGAGTTGAAAGGTTGCTTCTCAGAAGGAGAGGCCTTGGAGGACTCGGTCGTCTTGTCAACTATGGTCATGGTTCATCTCTGGAAAAGAAGAGAGGCCCAGGGGTGAGGAGGGGGAAAAAAAAACTTGAGTGTGTGACAGAAGAAGCAGAGCAACATGCAGATGTTCCAGACTTCAGAGGAATATAGCGGAATGAAAAAAGAAGGATTCAGTTCGTTTGAAAGAGAAGGAGAACGCAATCTCTTTTTTCTCTACATCGGGGTGTCCAATCTTGGCGATGTTTTCATAAGCTTTAGCTAAGTTTTGCTTTTATTGTTTTTTAATGCCTACTGATCTTTCAAACCCATTAGAAGACTCTCAGTAGCCTGAATACTGAAAGCAAAACAAAGAGAATAACAAGAGTTGTGTATGCTGCTAACAAAGAATAATCATTAGTAGGGCACTATACCTTCCAACTCTTGTTATTCTCTTTGTTTTGCTTTCAGTATTCAGGCTACTGAGAGTCTTCTAATAGGTTTGAAAGATCAGTAGGCATTAAAAAATAAAATAAAAGCAAAACTTAACTTATGAAAACTATATCTCATAGCTATGGAGTAGCATTCGTTCTTTCAACAACTCAGTGTTGTTGATTTTAAAATAGCATTATTTAACACCCCCCCAAAATGACTTCCACTTAGATATTACAAACACAACTGTGTGGATACTGTATTTGTACTATTTGTAATTTAGTAACATCAATAATACCAAATACACAGTTAAATGCTCATCCTTTTATCCCCATTGCAGACTTACAACCACCAGAAAGAAGACCAAAACATCAGTCAAAAGCTATTGTCAGTGACTGGGCTTAATATTAAGCCTGTTTTTATGACCCTGTAAAAAGCAGTCACCAAAAGATTGTTAAGCAGCCACACAATCCCCAAGGCAAATCCTTTCTCTTAAATGGGCGTGGTTGTTTTTTTTTTTTTACCAGAAACCACCCCAAAACATAGTCAATCATGGTTACAGGATGCTGCAACTGGTTGCAAATGCTCATCCTTTTATGCATTACAGACTTACAACCATAAGGACAGATGAAGAGTCCTTAGCAAGGCCCGAGGGCATCTTTCAAAAATGCTCTGCCCCTTGGCTCTCAGCTATGGGAGAAACGTGCATTGCACCAAGACAAATCTTCGCTGTCCCTCCCAAACCCAATCCAGGTGTGTGGTTATTTTTCTCGGCAGCAGGTAAGTGAGTAGGGGGAGAGGAAGGTGAGCAGCCTGCCACAGGGGGGACCCCCCCCCCCTAGTTTAAGTATCTTCCTAAGGTCAATAAACACAGTTAAACCCTCATCCTTCCACCACCAATAAAGACTTACAACAATCATAACAAAGACCAAAGTTATCAGTCAAAAGCTCTTGTCAATGACTGGGCTTCATAGTAAGCCTGTCTTTGTGACGCTGTGAAGAGGAGTCACCAAAGGATTGTTAAGCCACCACACAATCCTCAGGGCAAACCCCTTCCCTTAAATGGGCGTGGGGAGTTTTGTGCCAGAAATCACCCCCAAAACATTGTGAACCGCAAACCGGTCGTAAAAGCGAGCCGGTTGCCTGCGGCACCGGTAATGTGATTGTGTGACTGCTTAATAAACAGAAGGCTGCGGTCCTAATATTAAGGATGGCTTATGAGTAGCTTTTAAAAAAAAAATCTGTTGAAACGTTGGTTGTTAAGTGACTGTTTTTAGCCAAGGACTAGCCATAATATTTAACGCGGTTCCCCAGAGAAGCGGCCGCAATATCTATGAAACCGGAAGGTGACTTACCTTGGTTTAGTGGCCGCTAGAGAAAATTAAACCCATTTATTTGACGCCCAGTGAAAGGCAGGCCACCATGTTTTACTGGTCAACCTAATATTCTGTCAGTTTACCCAAGAACAGCCCAGCCCCCGCTTGGAACACAGGCTACACCTAAGTCACTTGAAGAGCAAGAGAATAAACGGATGCACAACTGCCTTCGGATCGTACAGGCGGTCCGTACAATTCAGTCCCAAGATCTCCATGGCTGAGAAATTTGTTTAAGTGAACACTGCCCCCATTTTACGACTCACCTTGCTGCATTTGTTAAGTGAATCACCGCAGAGTAACAGCCCTTGCTTATCCATGGAGACGGAGTGGAGCAAGTGGCCGGTTTTAAGTTTCTGGGTGTTACCCTAAAAGAGGACCTGACCTGGGATGCCCACATTGCAGACCTGGTCAAAAGGGCCCAGCAGAGATTATACTACCTGAGACAGAATGAAAAACTGCTGGTGACCTTCTACCGCTGCACCTAGAGAGTATCTTAACTTACTGCACCTCTGTCTGGTTTGCCAATTGCACAGGGGCAGATAGGACAGCACTCCAGAGGGTTAACTGTCGTTGGTTGCCCTCTCCCCTCTTTGGAAGAGCTTTATAGCTCCCGCTGCCTTAAGAAAGTTCAAAACATCCTCAAAGATCCATCTCATCTTGGGCACCCTTTTTTTTGGAACTATTACCATCTGGCTGACGGTACAGGACAATAATAAAAACAAGGACAAATAGGCTGAAAAACAGCTTATATCCCAGGGCAGTGGCTCTTTTGAATTCTGCTGTATAGTGCAATATTAATGCAATATTGGGGGTTTTCAATTCAATGTGTAGAGTGAAGGATGTGTGTTTGTGTTTATTTTCATGGTCATGATGTGTACTGAAGATGGTGTTTGATTTCACTGTACAAGGTGCAATGACAAGTAAAGTAAAAGTAAAAGTAAAAGCAAAAGTAAAGACAGTTGTTACATGAATCCAATCTCCCCACTAACTTTTCTTGCCAGAACGGTCACCCAAAGCGGATCAGGGGACCCCCCTGCAACCGTCATAAATGTGAGTCGGTTGCCAAGTATCTGAATGTTAAATTGTGTGATCATGGGGATGCTGCCAACAGTTGTGTACATGCGAAAAATTGACATAAGTCACTTTTTCCCCGGTGCTGTCGTAACTTCGAATAGTCACTAAGTGAAGTGCTGTAAGCCGAGGACTACCTGTATATGCTGTCAGGGTGAGTCGATTTTGCAGAGGTTGGGAATAGGACTGGGATTGGTTGCAATTGTGCTTTTTATTTGCCTTAACAAAATTCTATTTTATCCCTTTTATTAGCGACTTGGGAGTCACAATTTGTGGGGTTTCTTTGTTTATTGGATTTTGAGAGAAAAGAAAACTCTGCAAAGCAGCTTACAATTCTTTTCTTTTTTTTAAAAAAAGCAATTTTTAGAAAGGGAACAGGATAAAAATAAATAAAATAACCTGGGGGGGGGGGGGGGAATGGTCAGGGATTAAAACAATATCCCAATTCTACCTGGGACTGAGAGATTTCTAGGATATTTGATAAGTGGGAGCTATGTGTATCTTGGGAAGATGCTGTTCCAGAGGGCAGGTGAGGCACGATAAAAGGTGTGCTTTTTCAATCCTGCAAGGTAATGGCATTTAAATGACATGACTCAGAATGCACTCACTCTGCCTTGATCACACCAGACTGGCAGAAACAATTGGAGCCATTCAAATAAAAGTCAAGGAGCGCAGTGAAAAATGGAACTAACATTATATATAAAGAAGACCAAACAACAGGTACAACCATTAGCCTTAGAACTGACAGTTAAGATGTTGAAGTGGCAGACAATGTGTGACTTTCATGATCAACCCTCAATATAAAAGTAAAGGAACAATCAGAGAAGAAACAAGACGAGGACTGGGGAGAGCAGCCATGAAAACCTTAGGGAAAAAAAAAATATTCCAATGCCCTGATGTTTTACTTACAAAATTTGCAAGCAACAATATTCTCTGTGAAAGCAAAAGTTGGACTTTGAAGAACCAGGAGAGAAAAGAGTTTGGGCGCTTTTGAACGTTGGTGCTGGGGAGAAGATTTAACTTTCCATGAACAACCAACCAAATGTATCGCCCAACAAATCAGTCCAAAATTCTCACTTGAGGCCCAAATACCCAGGCTCAAATAATTATATCTTGGACATATTATATGAAGAGCAAGTTCTTTGGAGAAGGCCCTAATGTTGGGAAAGGTGGAAGGAAAGAGAAGAAGAGGATGAAGGTGAATGGACTCAAGATATAGTTGTGATGGATGTACTGTTGGAAGAGTTGAAGGATCAAGTTGGGGTCAGATTGTAGTGGAGAAAATCTGTGATCTCTAAGAGTCCACACCAACTTGATGTCATAAATGAAGTCAGTTGCCAAGGGTCCGAATTTTAATCACATGACCCTGGGGATGCCACAACAGTTGTAAGTGTGAAAAAGAGTTGCAAGTCACTTTTTTCATTGCCACTGTAACTTTAAGCAGTCACTAAGTGAACTATCATAAGTCAAGAACTATCTGTAACTAGATGGTCCTATAAATTAGTTAGATAAGTAAATATTGATGCAATTGGTGCTTCCGCCTAAAGAAGGCACCATAGTTATTTCTCAAAGGGATCTTGGCCCACGAAAGATAAAATATACTGCATAAAATAATGCACTATCAAAGAGCTGCAGTTTTTAAAGCTGAAGATCAAGCAGCAGAACCAACTTGTATAAGCTTGCTTGTATAAGAATTTCCCTCTTTTTCCCCCTGATTGGAGTGGGAGTGATTGGAGTTAAGGGTTACTTATTGTTTTAAAGCCTACTTATTAATATTTAAGCTTTTAGAACAGACCCTGGGGCTGAAAAAAAGGAAAGAAGGCAGGAACGGAATCTATCTTTATAATAATTCAATTCCATGAAGTCAAACTGAGGCATGACCTGCAGTCAGATTATTAGTGAACTTCATGGGGGAATGAAAATTTATTTTAAGTTGTAGCTCAGCTTTTAAGCTGGGGGTGTCCAACCTTGGCAACTTTAAAACTCGTGGACTTCAACTCCCAGAATTCCCTAGCTAGCCATGCTGACCGAGGAATTCTGGGAGTTGGAAGTCCACAAATCTTAAAAGTTGCCAAGGTTGGACGCTCCCGTTTTAAGCCATTACGAGATGAAACGCTGGCTCATTTCAATACGAATGATAATTTCCCCCGAAATTGATCTCTTTGCAGCTCCAAGAAGAAAGGGG